AAGCACTTTCGGATGAGGTCACCCAAAGAGGCAAATCTCGAAAGGGGAGCAGGTCCCGCAAGAGAAGAAAACAAGTGCTGTGGGGACATGGTGTGTTCTTGAGCTGGAGGGCGTCCTTTTGCACTTGCCAGACAAGTATGCCTGCACGATCCAGTGTGATCTACGTTCAAGCTGCCGTGGGCCTTGCTTCTACATGTTCTAAACGGCAGCATGGACACCCTTCTCAGCAAAAAGTCCAGTGCCGACCCATCATGTCTTCACATGCTAAAGAACTGGTGGACTGGTGGATGCCAAGCATCTGAGGCCCGCGAGCTGAGCCTTCGCAGGCGAAGAGCTAGGCTGCGGCCAGCGCAGGGTGTTGCCGACGGGTGTGGCAGGGCCGAGTACTGGGCCGAAGGTTCGGGCTGCACGCGACTTCGCCACTCACACACAAGCCCAAAAATGGACTCAACTCAACTCACCTTTTGCGAAGCTCACATGTGCTAGTCTTGTCCGAACTTCAGGTACTTGGGCCACTTGGGCCTGCTGCTTACGGCGCATCCCCGCAGGCCGCCAAACGAAGCGCTTGGTGAGACCGTGCTTGCGTGGAGCCCGAATGGCCCAAGCGATGCGCTCCACAGCACGCGGGCGACACGACAGCCGAGAGCTGCTCAAGATCTTAAGACAACGTTGACGTCGTTGACATCGTTGACAACGAGCAGAGCCCTCGGGGCGCGTGCTTCACTGGAGACTCGAGGCGCGAGCCAAAATGGAAGCCCTGGGCTGCAAAAGCCCGGATGTGCGCCTACCTAAAGCGCACATCAACGGCTTTTCAAGCAACTTCATGGAAAACCTCGCTCAAGAGTCAAAGTGGAGGGATGGCTGCGAATGCCGCCAAAAAGTGTGGACATGGTGGTGGGCATCAGCATCTGCGAGCATCAGCCGTGCTTCAGCCCTTGTGGATTGCTTGCAATGTGAAACTCCCTCAACGGGAGGCAGCAAGGGTTCAGGCGTTAAGCTTCACACTTGGCTTTGCCAATGCTTGTGCGTCCAGAGCAGCAGCCTGCAATCATGGAGCACCCTTTATCAGCTTGGCAACTACTTAGCTCCTCAGCATGGGCACAGGCATGGGTGCAGACAACGTGGCTTTGGGGCTTGCCTCGCTGGGCTCGCAAGCCGCGATGGCTCCCCACTGCTTCACAATCACAAGTTCTTCTTTGAGCTGTGCGATGCCCACATGTTTTGTTCCTCATTGTGGTCACTCCCTCGACTCGCAAGGAGGAGTACGGAGCCTTCCTTGATATGCAAAGAGGGCCGGACTGTGCCCAGCCTTAAGACAGGATATGGCTCGTTCGGCAAATTGCCCACCAGTGCGGCAGCGCGCGACAGGCCGTCTATGGCTGAGGGAGGCTTTATGGGGGCCTTCAGGGTACCGGCGGGGCCATAGCCGAGCCCCAGAAGGGCTGGAATTGCACAAGTGCGTCTATCTTGATCTGGGGAGGGGTGAACCACTTGTCCATCAGATGTTGGATGATTTGGATGCTTCAGTCGGCACTTGCAAATCGCATGTGCGCACACGATCGCAGAAAACTTGAAGACGGACCTGCCTGAGCTGCCAAACTCGAAACGACGCAGGCATCTACTTAGATAGCGGAATTGCTGACTACTTCAGCCCAGCGTCTCTGTGCTCACAGCTTTGGGCGTGGTTCTGATCTGGATAGCTCTCGTCAAAGCTCCGCAACAAAAGGCAAAAAACTTCCACCTGCATCTCAAGTCAAGAAGAGGGCGTTCAACACGAAAGCGCAACACCGACATGCAGCACCTCGAGGACGCAACAGAGCGTAGCGCTCACCTTTACAAGGCTGCGGCAGCTTCTTGGGCGGTAATGGGCTTGATAAAGCATTTTTCTTGCAATTGGGGTTGAGGGTTGCTCTATGTGGCTTTGCTCCAAGCTTCGAATGCTTCTTCTAAATTTTGGTGTGTGTGATCCCGTTTCTACACGAGTTCACCTAGCCATCTTCAGCATTAGAATAGCCAAGCTCGACAACACATGGCCATCAGGATCTCCTCATTGCATACGCTGACACCCAAAGCCAAAGCTGCTACAGTCTAGGAGGGAAACACCCCCAAACTCAAACAACCTGGTGCATGTACGCTCACCCGGGCCTGGGGATTTGATGCACGCCATCACGCCCGAAGAAAACTATCTTGAGCCACAAGTGCTCTCGGCGCCAGAGCTCAAAAGCACCAGCAAAGGAAATCCCATGAAAGCCCCCCTCCCCCCCCCCCCCCCGAAGTCCCGAAGTCGCACACAAAGAGTGTCCACCAGCCTGAAGAGTTTTAGGAGTGCACCGCTTGCTTTTTGGGATGTCTGATGTACTTGCTCTTGAGTATTGCTGCTCCTCCGCCAATAGAAGTGGAAAGCGTCGATGAATAGGACCCCGACTCCCAGTGCCACAGAAAGCAGCGATGGCAGAGTGCATTTTCGGCTGGATACGCCTTCAATTTGAACTGGCTGCATGCAGGCTCGTCTCAAGGACAACAGTCCCCCACCCAAAGCCCCGCAGCCCCAACAACCGCTACAATCAGATTGAGACCATTGCACCGAATTTCAATCGGCTCAAGAATCATTTCCTGGACCCTGTAGATCCCAATTTGTCTCCCAACAGAAGGCGGTTGAGGGTTGAGGGCCACTGCGAGTCACGTCAGGTATCCAAGGCCCAGCAGAAGTCGGCTTTGCTCGTAGATGAGGTGCTTCCGGCGGTGAACGTTGGTGCAAGCCTGGGTAGGTCTTTGTTGGCAGGCGAGGTTCAGTGTTCGTGACTGTTTGTGCGCTGTAGGCTTCAGAAGCTCCACTACAGACCGCTTCTGTGTGTGTGTGTGTGTGTGTGTGTGTGTGTGTGTGTGTGTGTGTGTGTGTGTGTGTGTGTGTGTGTGTGTGTGTGTGTGTGTGTGTGTGTGTGGTGTGTGTGTGTGTGTGTGTGTGTGTGTGTGTGTGTGTGTGTGTGTGTGTGTGTGGTGTGTGTGGTTGTGTGTGTTGTGTGTGTGAGTGTGTGGTTGTGTGTGTGTGTGTGGGGTGGTGTGTGTGGTGTGTGTGTGTGTGTGGTGTGTGGTGTGTGTGTTGTGTGTGGTGTTGTGTGTGTGTGTGTGTCGGGTGTGTGTGTGTTGTGTGTGGTGTGTGTGTGGGTGTTGTGGGTGTGTGTGTGTGTGTGGGGGGTGTGTGTGTGTGTGTGTGGGTGTGTGTGTGTGTGTGGGTCGGTGTGTGTTGTGTTGTGTGTGTGTGTGTTGTGTGTGTGTTGTGTGTGTGGTGTTGTGTGTGTGTGTGTGTGTGTGTGTTGTGTTGTGTGTGTGTGTGTTGTGTGTGTGTGTGTGTGTTGTGTGTGTGTTGTGTGTGTGTTGTGTGTGTGTTGTGTGTGTTGTGTGTGTTGTGTGTGTTGTGTGTGTTGTGTGTGTTGTGTGTGTTGTGTGTGTGTTGTGTGTGTGTGTTGTGTGTGTGTGTTGGGTGTGGTTGTGTGTGTGTGTTGTGTTGTGTTGTGTTGTGTTGTGTTGTGTTGTGGGTGTGTGTGTGTGTGTTG